TGTTGAGATTATTGCCGTTGTAGTATAAATTAGGAACTTTTCTCAAATTTTTTTCTCCACTATTTAGCTTTTTTTTCTCATTTAGCGAATTGCTGAATTAAAATGTCAACTTGGACGAGGAGGGACGTGTTGTGGTAACTCGATGGCTGACAGTGGTCATAGCAGTGGCACCGGTCAATCCGAAGAACGACTGGCCTCAGATCAACGACCATCGTCACGCGAGAGTGGCATCAGCTTGTCATACTCGGTTAGTGTTGTTTGCTAACTGCGAAGAGCAAGGGTCATGGTTTTGAAATCCATAGAGGGTGGAGGCCCATATATTTTTTAGGAAGAAGTGCTGACACGGCTTCCAGTACGATGGCAGTCATTAAGGGATGCATCCCATTGCACATCAAAATCGTGTAGAGCTGAATTTGCATCAGCTGTTGATCGACGTATTCATTGTCATCGTTGTGGGAAGGTACGTACATTAGATAGTTCAATTTCGGTGCGACAGTGTTTGCAATGTTTTTGCAAAAGTTGTAAGGGTCGTCTTGAGAGGACGAGTTTTCTGGAATTACGCACTGTTTTTACTGTGAAAAGTTTTTTTTTTCAACTGTTTAATTCGGAAGCGTGACTTTCGTCCTATCTATTTATGCCCGATTTCTTTTTAGGTATTTTGTCGTCGTTGCGTACGGGTAACTGCAGATGAACGAGAACGCATCTGCGAAGGATGCCGAGCAATCTGTTAGAGCCAGCATTGAGCAGGAATACACATACTTAGTAGAATGACCAATCCGCTGGCAGTGCGCTTGGTGTAGATGCACAAAACACACCAAATCTACGAATTTCATTTGACTTGATTACAAAGTGCGGGAAGGGGTTTAGTGTGTTATATCGTATGTTATGTGCATTTACATCATTTGCATTTTTTTCCATATATAATCGATAAAGCATAACACTTGAAGGCGAATAATTTTTCAAACGGTTTTCTACCGCGATTCACTTGATGCATGTTAAAATAACCTGCGTTGTTGTGAGTTTAACCTCGTATAATCCCATTCTTATCCTCGTTCGCATGCTCAGGCGCATTTATGTGAAACCATCTTATTTCAGTTAAGATAGAACCCGCCTTTTAGTCCAGCCACTTAACGCTTCTTGCATTTAAAATTAGGAAATGCAAACATTTGACGATTTTTTTTAGATTGATACAGATCTTTTCATGATCAGGAGTTTTGGAAGTCAATTTACTCTTCATAACTCTGTTTACATGCGCCGTCAAGTGTAATGCTTTATTCTTGCTGAAAATGCCCCAAAGCCCCTACTGGGGTTCGTCACTGATTGGCCCATTGCCAGAAAGTTAATTCCATGTGGTCTAGCAAATATTGCCCGCAATACGAAACCTTTCGTGATGAACGTCTGATCTTCATTATTTGAGTGAAGCGCCCAATTTTAAATTAACTTATTGTGTCCAGCCCAATCACAGTGTCTGAGGTTCGATTTGATGATCTAGTCGCGGTGCTCATAATGAGCTTAAAATCATCGATTTTGTAAATGTTATCTATTTGTAGTTTCGTTCTTGTAACTCTAATTTTTTGATGTATATCTTTTTGGGTAGATTTGATGATTGTAAAAGATGAATTTTCATCTTCCCCATTCCACCGTTTCAATTTGTTCGCTTTCCACTTTTCTCTTCTTTTCCCTGAATACTTAATTACCGCGGGTTGTTCTGCTTGAGTGTGTGTTCAGAGATTAGTATAGTAAAGTTTATTTATTGATTCTAATATTGTTTTCTTTGATTTTTTTCTATCATGGGGTTTTGTTTCACTGTTCGAAGGATATAAAGATTACTCGGAAAGTGTTAAGACTTCAAAACAACCTTGAATTTAAAAGTAACATTTCTATTTTCGTGGCCGAGCACTTTTTTGTTATCAAAACCTTTTTCAAACAAGTGAAGTTGATAACATAAAATTGTTAATCAGTGAATGTGGATGGGATATCTAGGACATATACGATAATTATTGTATAAGAAACTGCTGAGCAGAATTACCACAGCGGGGATAGCAGCACCCTAGACAAGAACTGGGAGAAATCTGTAGAGCAATTGATTAAAACTTAAAAACATTGAAAATTCGGACATACGCACGATCTGTTATAATATTAAAGGGTTCACGCAAAACCTAAAATGAAAT